AGAAAGGACCTTGAAGAAATACCAGGAAATGATCAATCCAGAAAAAAGGACAGATCTGAGCACGTGCTTATTAGCTATGTTTTTCTCTTCTCTATTGGATTTCTGTAATTAGCATACTACAATAACACTGCTAGAAATGTTTGCTACCTACCTATTATGTGCTTTTAGCCATCATTTTGTAGGCAAATGATGCCTGAATGATTTGCTAATGGGAAGGGAACTCTTAAAAATGGATAAGACTATAAGATAACTCTTGGATGTGCTCTAAGGGCTTCTGAGCACAAAGTGCAGGAAAATACCATGTAATTTTCACTCATTAAGGGATTAAGAGAATCTGATTGTCAAGAAGTGTGCCAGAGAACACAGCTATAGTCTTTTCCTACAAATTAAACACAGCTAGGTGTGTTTGTCCATCTCACCATTAAAATAAATAAATAAAATAAATAAATAAATAAAGCATAGCACTTTCTGAGTATTTTGATTTTTTTCTTCAGAATCTTACCATAGAATATTCCATCTGTGACAGCTGTCTCAAATGCTCCTTTCCGAACACCAACAGTCTGGCACGTCCAGTGATGGGTGTCTCTTCCAAGTGAGTAAAATAAAACATGACAAATAAAACTCCTAAGCTACTGACACCCAGGAGTATCTTCCATTTATTTGTCCTCACACTTTCTTTAAAGAGCTCCCGTTTATTAGGAGGAAGTGCCTTCCACCATTTTCTTATGCTCCTGTAAGACACAAACACTGGCAACTTAGGACATAGCTAACAGAGTTAGAGTCTGCTGCTGCTCTGATCCATCCTACATTCTCAGCTGGTGTGAGCTTAAGGAAGTTTTGTTGCACTTGGGTCCCTACCTATCTCCCTCTCCTCTTTCTCAGAGGAAGAGGAGGAAATGCCTCTTAGTGTCTTGGTCCATCTCCCTCTGCATGTGTAGGAGTAGAAGGGAAAAAGATACATAAGAAACGATTCCTTATTAAACAAAACCTTAGCCCAAGCCTCAGCCCTTCAAAGCTTTGCAAATCTACCACAGTTAAAACCCTATAAATAAATAACACCTACTGTTCTTTATAAAGAGATTGAACGCATGCACATGGCTTTGCACAACAGGGCCCTACTCTGAGAGAGAAAAAGCAAGATCATATTTTACCTGCCAACAAGGATAGCAAACAGCTTCTGAACAGGTTTAATGATTATCCAGAAAAAAGGAAATGGTGCAGCCCGAAGTGATGGCGATGTGTGAAAAGACCTGATGAGCTGAGTGCTCCCAGCAGAAAAATGATTTGGGATTAACCCTACAGGACTGATTTGGAGGGATGTAATCTTCTCCTTCAGCAACCGAGGAGACTGGGAGTAAAACCTTCTGGAAATGTGGCGTGCACTCTTCCATACTTCTGTATTTGGGACATTTGAAACACATCTCTGTCCTTTACCAAGACAGGTTCTGTTGCAGTTTTTTGTTGGGGTCAAAGCCAAACGAAAGAAAAGACAGTTCCTTCTGAGAAGCTTTAAACCACGCGTGATGTTCATAACCTCTTTGGTTGGCTCGCCTGAAACAAAGGAGGAGGGGAGAAAAATAAAAGGGGGAAATAAGTATTAAGAAACAGGAAACTCCCCAACAGGAAACTGGGAAACATGACTTCATCTGAACAGATACCATATTTCACCTGAACAGATTACTACGTATTTCTTTGCCCACACGCAGTTATAAGTGCATCCTGTTGCAAACCAAGGGCAGGACGCTGCTGCCAGCTGCAAAACCAAAACTCGTGCCTTATATTATCAGCGAGAGCAAAACAGCTTCGGGTGTTTTCCCTCGCTCTTTAACGACAACGAGGGCAGGAGGGCTGTGGAGGAATCCCGCCCTCCCTGAGGAGCCCCAGCCCAGCGGACCTCCCGCCCCGCGCGCGGCGGCTATTCCCGCCCGTGGGCTCCCCTCAGAGAGAAGCCCCGCGCCCCCCGAGCTGCCAGCCCTATCGTGATACTGGCAGACGCGAGGAGGGTGATGTGAGGACGTGTGACTGTAAGGCTCCCGGATCAGCTCTGTTCCGCCATCACGGCGAGACTATTTTGCCACCTGCTCCAGGATACACCTCCTCAGCCGCCGCCCCTACTCACCTCGCCAGCAGGCGGAGGAGGAGGAGGGGTCGGGCCGGTGCTGAGCCGCGGCTGAGGGCGGGCACCGGGAGACGGGATGAGATGAGACGGGCCGGACGCGGTGCCGCCGCTCCGCCCCTCCCCCCACCAGCAGGGCGGGCGCTGGGCGGGACGCTGAGGGCGGGCGCCGCCATTTTGTGTCGACCGTTAGTGCGTCACAGAGCCCCGGGGTTGTCCCTCCCAGCTCGGCGGCGGGGCCTCAATTCTAACTGATAACGATGTGTCATGCATTGGGTAGATGACGTGAAGAACAATGAACGCGTTCTTTACAAATGAAAGGGTGAGGAACGAGTGTGTGTGCTAAGAGTAGGGCACCGGCGCTTAATACGGGCCCTGGGGCTCTGCGTGTTCAAAGCGTTTCCTCTCGCGGGAAAGGTGAAGGAGCGCAGATCTCGCCTTCGGCAGCCGCACTGGCAGCTCCACACGTGAAAGCAGAGGAGCTGTAGCGGGAGAAAAGCACTTAGTGTAACCCAAGGCCTGTGTGTATCCTGCATGCCAAGAAATACACGCTCTCGTGGCTGTCTGCTGATGCTCGTTGTCCTTATTTCTTAGACTTCATTGTTGTCCACTTTTCCTGTTTTCAGGGAATCACACAATGGCCTGGGTTGAAAAGGACCACAATGATCATCTAGTTCCAACCCTTGCTATGTGCAGGGTCGCCAACCAGCAGCCCAGGCTGCCCAGAGCCACATCCAGCCTGGCCTTGAATGCCTGCAGGGATGGGGCATCCACAGCCTCCTTGGGCAACCTGTTCCAGTGCCTCATCACCCTCTGGGTGAAAAACCCTCCTAATAGCTAACCTAAACCTCCCCAGTCTGTTGAAAACCATTCTCCCTTGTCCTGTCACTATCTACTGTCATAAACAGCTGTTCCCCTTCCTGTTTATACATTCCCTTCAAGTATTGTAAGATCACAAGGTCTCCCTGGAGCCTTCTCTTGTCCAGGCAAGGCCAATTCCCTCAACCTTTACTCATAGGAGAGATGCTCCAGCCCTCTGATAATCTTTTTTCTCCATGTTTTCTTCATGTAGAATTCTCCCCTCCTAAGCCAAGAATGAGTACTTTCTCTTGTTTGGTCTGTGGAGCAAATCTCATTCTTCCACCTCAGAGACTCCATTTTATTTCAGACCAGCTGAAAATTGATGGTTTTTGTTTTGTTTGTTTACTTTTGCTATTATTTGTTTCTCCAGATCCATTATTTTCCTGTCTGCTTAGAGGGTATTAGAGCTATTTCTGCATTCCTGCCTCACCTATTAAACCTCACCTGCCTCATTCCTATTAAAATCACTGGATGTTTTGAGTGCATAAAGATGGGGCTGAGAATTGTTTTCTGCATTTCTTCACAAGTTCTATCACTTATAATTAAGATTTCAAAGCAGACAAGCAGCAAATACGACACAGATAATTATAGGATCTTTCTATCAGGTACTGAGATGAAATGCATCTCTGAGAATCTGGTAAGCAATTGAGCAATTGGATACTTATGAAGTGGTTTTTTTTTCCAAATTGCCAGTTTAAATAATAAAATAGATCTAGTGATTTACACCATGGCTTCTCTAAAATTTTAGCAACTATACATACATGTAACTTTTTTCTTTTTTAAAGAAACTTCTGTGCTTTTTGTTACTAGCCTCATCTCTTCTTCAAAAAAAGTCTGTAATTTGCATTTCTGAAGAAGACCAGAAAACCTGTGTAGATGTATCCAATCTCTATGTGTTACTGTAAGTAGTCACACTAAACTGAATGCAATTTTGTACATGTTTAAAACTGTTCACTCAAGCAGTTGGCAGTGCCGCGGTGTCTTTGATATTTTGAGTCTTTGTCTCATAGAGCTGGAGCTTTTTTTTTTTTTAGTGAGAGGGTGTCTATTACAAAGATCATTGCAACTGAAATCGATTTCTTATAAATCTTTTATTCTGAGTTGCAGAATCATAGACTAATACAGGCTAGAAGGGATCTCTTGGAGGTAATTTGGTCTGCTCCCCTGTTTGGAACAGGGCTGACCTCAAAGATAGATTCAGTTGCCAAATATGAAATCCAATAAAAGTAATTAAAAACAAGGTAACTATAAATATTAATGATTTTTCTGTATATTCAAGTAGAAGCCTTTTTATACTAACATCTTCCTAGTACCAATTTTAATCCTGACAATTAAAAAGTTACTTAAAGTCACTTAAAATGTACAGTATTCATTTTTAAGTGAAAAAAAAAAAAAAAACAAACCAACAATGTATTGCAATATGTTTATCTTTTATTTAAATCTAGGTAGAAAAAAAAAACAATCTTGAGTGATGGTTTTGTCATTGAAGTTTCAAAGTAATTCACATCTGCTCATAAGTGACAGGCTAAAATCTTGTCAGAAACAATAAATTCTGTCAGCCTTCTGGAAGTCAGAAATTGAATTTAATGCTACTTATGCCTGTTTGACCAGCAGAAATCCAAAGAGTTCATGTTAACTTGAAAGAATAGTTAACATTTTGTTATTATTGAAGTTCTTCCAAATGTTGTTCACTAGATCCTGTCTGAGTGTACTGTATTGTGTACGTATCATATTAACTCACCCATCCTTGTCCCACTGACATACCTGTCCATGGATGCTAGTAGATATGTATCTATTTGTTAATAAGTAATAATTATTTCTGATTATTATGTATTATCAATATAGTTAAAAAAAAAAAAAAAAAAAGTAGAATTACAATCTAGGAGATGAAGTTACTCAACTGAATGGAAAACTATTGCAGGACTATAGAAGTTGTTGTAAAATTCAGTACAGTCCTTTCCAAAACATCCATGGAGAGACAGAGTGATCTCATTTGCTTGCGATGTTATAATATTTTAATAAAAGACTCTGTAAGAGCCACGAATGATTATTGGATCTCCTCCTACCAGTGAATTGGTTTGGATTTCCCAGCTTGCTAGTGTCATTTATTGAGAACCAGCATTCTTGGGAACCGTGTAGTGCTGTCATCAGACTTGCACTGAGTCACACCAGTGAGTGCCTTGCTGACCCAGGGTTCTAGTCAGTCCAGGGCAAAGTGCACTGGCTAGTTTTCCAGAGTAGTCTAAATACAGACAAGATATTTAGAATTAAGGAACCAAATGTAAACATCTGGATCCAATACTTTTGAAGAGCTCCTGATTTTTGAGCCATTTAAGATGTCTTATATAATGCAAAAGATCTCCAACATTACCTATTGCTTGTAATTTGGTGTGTCTGACAATCATTGCACTTTAAAGTGAGAGTTGAACGCTTAACAGTTGCAGAACTGGCAGAAATTCTGAGAATCTATCACTCTATTTTTTTCTGGTTTTTAATTCTTGCATTAATTTGGAAATTGTTTTTAAGGCAACTGTGTAAAAATATCCCAGTTAAAATAGCAAACACCACAGAATTCTTCTACTAGATCTCTAAAGCAGGAAAATTATTTAGAGAGACTTAGAAATGGAGCATTCATTAACTTTTGGTACTGAAGATTTCACTTAAGTCCTTCAGCAGAATTGAGAAAGCTGTAAAGATAGTATCTCTAACAACTGAAAAGGGCACATGAGGACAGGGAAAAAAATAAAAATAAAAAATTCGAGAGATGTGTGCTAAGACTGGGGCAACAGTGGTGAGCATTTCTGCACTATGCAGTGCAATGACTACAGCAGTGCTACCTCCAATTACTTTGTAGTCGTTCCACTTTGTTTTTTTTGGATAAAATCAGGCTAGCAGAAATGCAGAGATTTCTGATCTCAGGCCTTATGAATACATTTATTTCAAGCAAAACCAGTATTGTTGGGTCCATGTGTAAAAATCTCAGTAGAAAATTAAATACATTCTTACTTGTACTTTCATTTAGATAATGTGAAGTATCCCTAATTGTTTCTGTGGCACTTGATTTGTGCTGGAGTAGGGCTGTCAGAGTGTTGTCCCTCAGGGAGAAGGGATTGGCATGAAAATGAGATGTGAATATTGTCAGGCTGCCTGAAGTGTATGAAATCTTAACCAGATAAAAACCAGTACAAATAATTCTGTTGGGAGCTGCAGTACTTATATGACAGTTATATAAATTCTAAAAGTTGGTTTTTCCTGCTGTGAAAGTAATTGCAATAACTGAAGATTAATTTTAGCATAAAAAAAGATAGGTACTGGCTGTACTTAAACCCTCCAACAAATCAATGGAGATGGTTTGGAAAGGGTAATTATACTTGTATACTTGCACAAGGAGGACAGTCTGTTTAATAACATTAATCAGTCCAGTTAAGGAGAAATGAAAGAAAGGTCTATTTGTTAGTTTTTTCTTTGAAAAGTGATTTCAATATGTAAGCTGTTATTTCTAAGTGACTCCCGGACACTTTTAGGGACATTTTAAGGACTACTGGGGGGATCTTGTATCTTGTCATGAAGTGCTCACTATCACAGACATGCTAATGTTTTATTATCTAAACAAGAAGGGATGGGTGGGACGTGTTTATACTATATGGCATAGGAGTTAACCTCATCTTGTGTAGTCCCAGTCCAAACAGCCATACAGAGATTAGTCCTAATTGGGGAAAGATGAGACAAGGAGAGATTCTCTTTGTCATCCAGAACAGCAGCGGGTTTGGACTGTGTTACCACTGATAAGAGCTAGATCAGGCTTCAGGCTGGTTGAAGTGTAGGATCTACTGCCACAAGCTTTCCCTAGGGCTTGCCTGCTACAGCAGAAAAAAAAAAAAATAATAGCAATGTGCATCTTTAAATATAGGTATGGGAACCTACAAGAATGCAAACACACCAATAATTTGCAAACTAATGCAGGGATTATGTGCCAATCCCTTTGAGTGCATACTTGCATATAGAAGCAGGCTTGGTTTTCACCAGGGAGACAGAGGGAACAGAGTTTAAGAGGCTTTTAATTCCTCCATGAATCCTTATCTTTCATTTCCTTGCTCTAATGCTGGCATTGCAACTGGCACTTCCCTCAGCTCTCCAGTGGTTAAAAAAACCTGTTTATTTGTTTTTTAAACTAAAAGCTAAAAGGAAAGGCTAAAGCCCACTCCAGTCAGTTGAACTAAGATAGCACTGAATGCAAAGGGCAGCATTAGCCTCTCCAGAGTTGTAGCTTAGAGCCAGGGATTCTTTCTGTGGGAGTAGCTGTTTTCAGTTTTCAAACCAAGGCAGCCTTTCCCCAGTCAGAACTGCGTAATGTAATTTAGGCACCAGATACCTCTGCGTAGTTAAAATGATCATATCCTCTGTTATGTAATGCAGCTAAATAATAGCACACAGCCTCTCGTTAACACTGGTTATCTTTATTTGGTTTATTTTACTTATATTATGTTGCTGTGTAAAAATCTGATTTGGGGGAAAGCTGATGCATCTGCCCATCCTGTGTTTTTCCAGTAGGTAAGAAATTAAGTAGTGATGCTGTGTGCTGTCAGAAATAACACCCCCTGCTTCCAAACCAAAGTCTATTCTTCTTCCATAATAAACAGGCAGAAACAGAACCAAAGTATCTTCGCTCTTTTCCTAGTAGCCAGTCATTCCCCTAAACAGATTCCTGTATTTGGGATGGGGTTGTGTTTTTGGACTCTGTAGCAATTACACTCTGCTGAAATTCCCCTTGCAGCTCTACTAAATAAAGCTTTTTATTTTTTGGCTTGTGCAGAAGCTTTATGTAGTAGTTCTGTAAAACTGTTAAAAACCAAAAAATATCTCCTCTGATACAACTACAAGGGAAATTTAGGTAGACAGAAAGCTACTATCTGGATTTGGAAAGAAAAACAAGGTTAACTTGCACTTACAGTGGGATCAAGAGATCATTGCTGACAATGAGTGCCAGACCTGTAACTGGGAATAGCTCAGTGCTACCTGAATACAAAGTCAGAATTGGGGCCCTGTACAAATGGAAGTGACCACGGTGCTGCTGCCTGCTAACACTTGACTGCACCAAAGCCTTTAGCAGTAGAGGATATTTTGTCTTGATTTATTTGATTAGAGACACCGACAATATTAATTGTTGACAAAAAGAAGTTCCAGCAACTTTGAAGACTTTTAAAACATTTTTATTGCTATTATTATTTTGCTCTAAGCAAACACATGAGGAGCCTTGGCTTAAATATTAAGCAAGCAAATGAAGTCTGCAGTACAATGCAGTCTGCATGTATGCTATATTTGCACAAAATATTTATTACACCTTTTGTAGCTTCTGAACTGAGACTTTCAGTCCCAGATTTCAGTAACCAACTCCTAAATTAACTTATACCCAAGGAAAAGCTGTTTTTTTCTGAAGTAGAATAATTCAAAACAAGTGCTTTGTCAATTCCTACAAAATGGGAGACAATTCCAAATCCATCCACATACATAGAGCGTTCATTCTTTTTATTTTGCCCTCCCCACCTCTGCCTGGTTGCTGAAGTTGCAGTTTGATTCTTTTTGTCAGATTAGAGCGACTGTAAAATTTGTCCTTCTGTTTCACTCATCTTTTCAATCTTAATTTTTTTGTATTTTCTCTTCTGGCACAAAATAATCACCAAAATAATGACAAAACCAGCAGGCAGTATCCCCACTGCCACCACAGCACTGATATCAACAAGCAGTTGCTTCATGCTAAACACTGGTGGCTTTTCATCAACATAGTAAATGCGTATATTTTCAATAGCCAGATCTTTTCCATTAACAGAGACAAGAAACGTACTGTCAGAATGAAACACAGAGTCCCCTTTTACATCTTTTTCCAAGTAATAGGCTACATCAACTATATCTACATCACACTGCTTCAAGTTATTTTGTTTTAGGTGGATTTGGATAAATGGGGAATCGTACTTCACAGCTGTGATGTATTTGGGTTGCAGTTTGTACCGGTTCTCAAACAGATGTGTCAGGGCTTCTGCTACATCAAGAGCTTCGAAGTAATGGGATGTTTCTTTGTGCTTCAGTTCAATGTCGACCCAGTTTGTTCTTATCAGTTCACTGCATATCAAATTTTTGTCACCTTTTCCAGTTCTTCGTATTCCAGCTGTGTTCACGCACCAGCAAGTACCAGCTTCATCACACTGTCTGGCTTTGAAGATACCACTGTCCTCACAGTCTGGATTATAAATGCCACCATCCAGCAGCTTAACCCGAGGTCTATAGGAGAGCTTCAAGGAGGTCATTTCTGCCTTCATCAGCAAGCATTTTGAAGTCAGCGTTGAACAATCTGCTGTATGATCTGAACCCACCAACCTGCAGGTGCAGTTGCCAGATGCATCCTGGTCACATACTGTCCACTTATTGGTCACACAGGTACAGCTCTGTGCTGATGAAGTTACCATCAGAATCAAACCCAGCGTAACTCCAAGCAGAGGCTCCATAGCACAGGTACAATGTGTGGGTACACTCTGAAGTGGCAACAAGCATTGTCTGGAGCTTTTATCTCCTAGGGGAGTCTGCTTGTTTCTACATGCTGTTATGCGGCTCCTTTATTCAGAGTACATATCAGACCTGACAAACAAGTTCTTCTAAAACAACTGGTCTCTCATGCCCAGATGCCAGAGGAGCTGCACTTTTATCTATTATTTCTAAGTGGGCAGCGCTGATTGCCCAGATGCCTCACATCCCTCTTAGTGAGGGAGCAACATGGAAGAGGCAAAAGCAGACCCAAAGCATAGCTCTTGCATTGAGCTTCCCTTACGTATTAGAGCACAAGGCTTCACTTTGCCTTTTTCCCTCTTCAGGATTTTTATGGAGCACACAGACAAATACATTTGGAAGGAACTTCTTCCACTTCTTTTGGATGAAGTCCCACTTAGCTGAGGCAATCCTACTCCTCTACGTTCATCGTGGTTTTTCCTACCTCTTAGATAACTTCTGTATCATTCCATTATCTAGATGCCACTTCCACATCCTTATGAAAGTGCAGAGGGCTTTATTTTATGTATGCTCCAACAGAACCCTGAAGTAGCTGCCAATTCAGGTGACAGGAAGAAAGAGAATTCATCAGTTTGATGAACTTTTACTTAGCATAGGAGAGCAATCTCAGCTTCCACTACAGAAAGCTTCTTTTTTCCTATTCATCCCAAAGCAGTATTAGGAATGCTAATTTTCAAACTTTCATTACCCTTACAAAGTTGTTAGCAGTTTCTGAAGAAATTTTCCAGTCTGAACTTTGAGTAATGTCTATCACAGTACACTCCAGTGGCTCTCAAGTATCTTAATGATGATTTACAAAGCATGAACCACATTTTCCAGTTAGCATTAAGTCATCTATCTGTTTGTCAAATGTTGTCAGACCCGTTATAAATCATTATTTTGTGAGCAGTAGCAAACAGCACCATTCTCCCATCTGCACAACTTCTGTGCTGCCTTGCAGACAATTCCTTTAGGCTGTTCTGTTGTTTTTTTGAGGACCTGACCTGCTTTAAATCACTGCGAGCAGGGCTGCCTGTAATGATGACTTGTGTGTACGTGAACAGTCAGAAGTTACACTGGCTACTACCAATGAGCATTAATAACATGGTATAGAATTAAAATTGAAGCTGCAGATGTAAACACACCCTATCACTCCATAATCTGTCAATAGACCTACTCCTGTTCCTAAAGCAGCCAAAGAAATTCACACTACTTAGGGGAAGCAAAGATGAGGCAAGTTCTTAAAATCATTCCTGGCTCCTTTTCAGACCTATAGCTCGTTACTGCACCTCTTCGCTTCCCCTCCTCTAAGATAAAAATAACAGCATTGAAGAGCTGTAGGAAGTCATTGTGAACCACTGATACATTTTTTATGAAATCACTAAGTAATTCAGTTTCCCACCTTGAGGGTTTTTTGTTTGGCTGGTTTTTTTTTGCACTACATCCTAACACTCATGTCATTTTTATTTCCAAGTAATTAATTTACCTATTTTAGATATACATAAAATCCACATCCTTCCTTCAAAGTCAAAATCTATTTAACTATCAACTGTGTCCTCATGTTATGTCTTTATTTGATGTTATGAACTCCAGAGAGAGCAGGTTTTGTTTTTGTCCTCTGAGATATCTCACTGAGGACAGACCCTCACCAGCTATAAAATGTTACAGCTCATAACCAGATTCAAAAGAAACTACAGCCATTTCTGTATGGCTGAGAGCTGAGCCGCTCTTGTGCTCTGAAAGCACTTTATTGAGTGAAGATTTTTAGGTAGCAGTACTTTCCTCATACGATGCTCAGCCTTGGCCTCAGACTCCCATCATCATTTGATAGTTTCTCCTTCCTTACAGACACAGTGAAACAGAGAATAATGCAGTGGTTTTTCAGAAGTAATGTATGGAAGAAAAATGATAGGCAATTAAAACAGATGGTCTGACTTCCCTGCTGGTGATGATTCTCACTACTGTTACCTTAATTAAAAACTGCATTAATTGTTGCTTCCTTCAAAGCTGGTTCAGAGTACACAGCAGTGCTTTTAGTCACCAAGAAAAACGTAAAACTGAGGCAAGAAAAGGGTAAGTAGGAATAACTTCAAGTTTCTCTGACTGAGTTCCATAATTTGCCAAAGTAGTGTGCACTCCTCCATTAACTTTTTTTCCCACTGTAGATTTTCCCTCTGTAAACATGCAGAGAACAGATTTCTTTCAAAGGCAGGAAAGAAAAAAAAAGTCAAGTATATATACACAGTCCCTCAAGGTATTATTTTCTTTGTTATCTCCCTTTAATCCACGCTAAACTGTAACAGCACTACAAGAGTTAATTGTTGAGAACAGCAGGCTGTAAAAGGAATCCTGTAGGAAACACAGAGTGTTATTTCTTTTGTGATCTCTGCTTCCATGGAAACAATTTTTCTGCACAATTTTAAATCTCATAAAAATAGGGCAGTAGGTCTGTGTAAAACAGCAAGGCACTTCCAATTAAACGACCAGAATGCTTTTATCTAGGCCATTAAATGCTTTGTTCAGTATCAAATACGATTACCACATTCCCTGAGACATGAACAAGCTACTTCCCATGCACTGGCTCTGCAGCCATGCTGCACACATCCTGATTTCCCTCACAGTTTTTTGCAGCAGTGTTTTTTTTACAGTGTTTCCTTTCCTTGCAGTGCTGAGCTACAGTCTCTGTCCCAGTACAGGCGGCACATTGCACAGTGTGCTGCACGCCTCAGTGCAGCCTGCTTTTCACCTGCACAGCTTCTCTCTCCACTACTCAACTGGATGTTCTCCTTGTCCAGAAACTCCTAGGAAATTCCTTGCTAGCACAGCAGGAATAGAGCGATAACCAACATACTTGATGAAATCTGGGTAATGCATATAGCAGTTTGAAAGATAACTTGATGATCACCTTTAGAAGTCACTGCAGTTGCTTGTGATGGTGAGGGAAAGAGAAAAACTGCATATTATTTCAGTGATCCTACAGCTAGGATGCTAGAATTATTTCTAAGGAAATAGTGTGGAAAATACAGCTCTACCATCTCAGCATCCCTTCCACAAACTATCTAATTTTGGCTAATTTTCTGGAGATCAGAGCAGAGACTTTAAGAACAAATGAAAGCAACAATATACAAGCTACTGCCCTCAAAACTTATGCATGCAGCCTTGTAGTCAGTGATTAAGTAAGAATAGCTCTAGCTCTTAGTTCAAAATGACAATCTTTTTGCTGTATTCTGTAGTTTACCTTTTTGTCATCTGTACCTAAGCTCCCTCTAGTGGTACTAAAGTGAATCAATTTTTCATTCTTACAGGCTTCAAATAAAGAAATAGCAGATGATATCTTCAAGAAGCAAGAAGTTATTAAAAATTTGGAACACATCTTCTGAAGTACAGAATATTCAGTCTTTATTAATAGATTCTTGGATACCATCAGTCAGGAATATCAAAGAAGTGAGCAAAAGAGGAAAAAAATATTCAAAGAAATATGGACAAGCCCCCCCATCCTCCCCATGAACACAAGGTATAAATAAGCTGTGAAAAAAGTACTGCTGGTAACTGGGACAGCAAAACTTCACTCAGACAACAAATGGCCAAAAGCTACATCTTAGAATGCAGTGGTGACTCTCCCAGTTTAAATTCCATCGTTCCAATTGCTGCTCAAACATTTCCCCTCTCTTGAGAAAACACTTGGCTAGACGTAACAGGGGGTCTTATATAAACAAAAAATATATTAAACAAAAAATAAATTAGCCAACAAAGCTAACATAAGAAAAAAATCCAATGAAAAAACACTGAGCTTCTCAATAAACATATTTAATGCCTTGTATGTGTTTGGTAGCAGAACTGGCAGTATTAGTAACATACATCTCAGAAGCACACAACTTCCAAACTCATTATTAGACACAAAGACAAAAATAAATGACAAAAAGCAGAGTATTTCTTACCATGACTCCTGCCCACAAAATTATTACTTGCCCTGATGGATACACTATTTCCAATCCACATACCACATGGTGTGGTGACATGGGATTATGGTGGCACTACCAGTTTGTGTCCCCCCTCACCCTTCCGACACTTGGACGTGTTGCCAATGGATAACCTTTAGAATCAGAATCAGCCTTGGGAAACCTGGTGCCTTTTGAAGCTCAGTTCTGCACAGTATTCTCCGGAGATCTGAACTGCTTCAGAAGTTGTTTGACTCAAAATTCTTCTGACTTAATGTGACTTAAAATCAATTAATACAACTGTATTGCTTTAACTCACTTTAATTCTTAAGCAGAAAAGCAGCCAGCACGTTCTTACTACTACTTTGGTAATACTGACATTCGTGTATATGGACAAAGAATGGTGTCTACTTCATATTGCTGTTACATATGAGGTTGAAATTTTCTTCTAGTTTATAGGAGAACTACAGCTTTTAGTACATACTGTATATAGCATATGATTTCTCTAGAATATCCTATGCAAAACTGCAGTAGAACTCCTCACGCTGAAGATCATCCCAAAACCAACTCAGGACAGAATGCTTTGTGACCAAGAGTGTTGTCTAAATCAGAAATACAGAAAGTCATGCAGTATTTTTAATTAGGAATTCCCAAAGATGATGATTTAGAATATATATGCAGAGTCAGCATGCCTTAAATAGATGGATGCACCAAGTTATACACAGCAGTGTGATCTAAAAACTGTGCACAAACACACCTGACAGAGAAAGAACAGTCACCAACATTTTTCAGACCATAATCCTCACATGTGCACCGAGAGAACCATCAAATATCAACTGCTCAAACTTTCACACAATCATGTTCTGCACCTTCCACTTCAAAACAGAGACTGACATTATGAGACGTGATTAAAAAAAAAAGGTAATTCTAAACTCTGCAAAGGAATTCCCTCATTAGGATACAACTATACAATTTTAAAGCTTTTCAGATGAAAAGCTGAAGATTTAAACATATAAAATCTTAAATCCCATTTATAGATGTAGAAGTAGATATACATACATATGTATTTTTCAAATAAGAATCAAATCCATCTTTATCCCTATAAGTATAAAGTCATGTTCTAGCTTGCTTCATGCTTTTCAAAATATTTCTTAGACAGACCTAAGAAACTTTGCCCGAGATAAATCTGTATACTTACATCAAATCTCCACTTGATTTAGAGGGCAAAGTTTAAATTACGTTTTTCTTTGTGTCCCTCCCCCACCCAAAAAAAGACATACTTTTCTGTTTGTTGCTCTATGCTTGCCAACAATGAAGAGCTCGTTTCCACAGGAAACACTGGCAATTAAATGTGGGCAAATCTCAATGATCTGACAGAAAAATATATTTTCTTCCTGTAGAATGGAAGATCAGAAGGACTGTAACCTGTAATAAACAGGAGTTAACATTTCCACTGGAAACAAGCACAACTAGCAATGAGAAGACAACAACTTGCCAGCCTTATCCACACAAAATAAAAGCAAGATGGCAAAGAATGTGCCAAAAAGCTACTTTGAGCTACACATTGTTCATCTCAGTAAAGTGGTCAGTTCCCCTTCTCTGAATTCATTTGAACTTAGACTCTCTAAAGCATTAAGGAACAAATCTATGAGTGTCAGATATACATAGCTGTCAATTAAAAAAATACATGAAAACAAAATTCCCAACCTGAAAGATGTAAGAGAACTCTCCTTGAAGACTGAAGCAAGTACTGTGGGCAGCTTGTCCTTCTCCCCAAATCACAGACTGGGGTATAATTCACTAACCCTGTGATACATGGTTTCTCCATAGCTCCTCATGTAGCCTGATCACACTCACCGGGAATTCTTTGGTTTCTTTGAACCATAACAAAACAAAGAGGCTGGATACTTTAACTGTTACTATTAAAATGGGTAACAATTTTGAAAGTGTTGATATAATGCAAGAAGGAAAAGAAACTAGAGGGTGAAATAAGCATTAAAAAAAATAATTCAGACTTGTTTTGTTTAAGCCATCACATTGACAGTGGCCTCAAGTTGTGCCAGGGGAGATTCAGGCTGGATGCCAGGAAACACTGCTTTTTTGAAAGAGTGGTCAGGCACTGGAATGGGCCCAGGGAGGAGTCACCAACCCTGAAGGTGTTCAAGGAACATTTTGATGCTGTGTTGAGGGACATGGATTAGTGAGAATTACTGGTGATAGGTGGACTGTTGGACTGGATGACCGGGTAGGTCTTCTCCAACCTTGGTGACTCTATGATTCTAATTCACTTGAACATTCATTCTTGTTTTCTTCAGAATTACTCTTCTTTTCACTCTTGTACATGGAAAGGAATAAGTTTTCTATTTGAGTCAAGAACTCTTCAGCAATGAAGCAGTTTGTTACCTTGCCCAAAGTCTTCCTCATGCACTCCAACAGCTAGTCAAGAGAAAATGCAATTTTAAAGTTGTTTTCATGAATTTTTATTTCCTTCTAACTACTTAGTATTTTGAACTGGTTTTTAATTTACTTACTTTAAGATTAAGTTCAACTGAACAACACAGATTTCAGAAAAGAACAGCTACATATGAACAAATGGGTGATCTTTCTACACTGGGTCTTTACGGAAAAAAAAAAAAAAACCACTCAAAAAAGAGCCATACTCCACTAAAGCAGAAAGGAACAACACTTCATGGTCTTTGTGATCAGCTCGTGCTCAATAACTGGCTATGACAAAGAAAGAACTGACAGCCTTTTGTGGAGGGTGCGTATTATTTTGTAAATTACAAATTTACACAACAGCTAAATTCAAGAGAATTCTACTACCTCGATTTCAGGTGTAAGCTATTTATAGGCAAAGCCACATTGTGAGGGGGAAAAAGAGACATGGATAATTATTGTGTATGTTTTCTGTTGATGCCTTTTGCTTTGGGCAGATTTTCTGTTTTGTTTGTGCAATTAGTGTTACAGCTGTAGTTGTTTAGAACCTCATAGCGATGATTACACTGACTGGAAAATTGAAATTTTCACTTAAGTGTAATAAACACAGTACAGCTCCACTTTACTGATAGAATAAAGGACTAGGAAGTCTCAAGCTTCTCTCAACATGTGTGCAGTTCTCACACTGAAAGCACACAGCGTGCTGAGATGTTATGCATTTGCCATTCATTCTCCCCCAAACAGAGGTTAAAATTTAGCACCTGTCTTACTGTTATCCCCACTATCTCAAGCAAGCATCCTTATTGTCATTGTGTTTGTAAGCAGCAAGCTGCACCACAGAAGTCATTTACTGGGATTAGTTTATGTCTCTAATATTTAAATGTGACACCTGATGATACTAAACAGACATGTTTTAAATAGTATTTTAAATTATAAAGCCTGAGAATCAAAAGCAGCACTTACTTTCTGCAAACAAGTCAGGTCAGAATCTCTATGAAAAATTTTATCCATGGGGACACTGCTGTTGAAAGAAAAGAAAGAAAGCAGTAGAAAGGTTAGAGCAGATATATATCTTTACTGAAACACAATAATAAACATACACTCAGGTTAGAATTTCTGCATATTACAAAGCAAACATACCTGTGACAGAATCTGTATTTTTCAATTATCCATCTTGTTTTTTCAAATATTAATTCCCACTGAGGTTCCTCTGACATTTGCTGTATTTCAAATTTGTAGGGCAGGCCTGTAACAAATTGAACACAAATACTTACTGCATAATGTTTTTACATATACATTCAAATATCTTCAGGTCACTGACACTTAACACTTGTCAGTGTTAAGGATGTTCAAGTGTGATACTTTGGATGGGAAATTTAATTTTGGTGGGTGTCTGTGTAAGGAGAAGAAGAAGGGAAAAAGAAATCCACAATGTAACAGAAAAATGGCAATGTGAATTGAGTTCTTTTAAGTCAGGACCACTTAGTCTCTGTAAGATCTGTGTGGCTATTAAACAAGAAAGAAAAGAAGACTGGTTTCCACGTATGAACGTAGAATGTTTAACTACTGTTCCAGGCTTCAGAGGAATTTTCCTGTAGGAAGAAATTCCGCTAGTTTATTGAAGGTACAGAGGTGTGGAGGGGGCAAATCTAGCAAATATTTGGTAAGAGTTACTTGGAAAGCACAAAGTCAGGTACCAAAAATGAGAGAAAATGGTAAATTTCAGATACTAATTCAAAAAACAAAACAAAAACAAAAAACCCTCTTTCCCAAGATCCTAAGAATTCAATGAGATGAGTTGCATGCTTTTGAACTATACCTCAGTGCAATGAAAATAGAGCAATCAATACAATTTGTTAGTTGAGCCTGCAAAAATATTTATAGATCTCGTTAAATACTGATTTTGTTCCTTTGCACAGAACTCCAGCACTACTGCTACAGCGTGACACATCTCAAGAGCCAGCTGAGATGCCACTTTGTTAAGATGCTGTTTTCAGAGGTAAGCAGAAATATTAAGTAGTCATATCAGATGGAAAATGTATGTGACCGAGAAAATATCTACTTCTAAGGCCAGATAACATTTCTACAGATTTTAACCCCACAATGCAGATGTGGCACAAGTGGGAAACAGAAGGATAGAAAAACCCAAAGAACTAAACATTACAGTACAAGTACTGCACAGATGTGATCACCACTTCATTTCCCCTAGACTACAAAGCAAGTCTCCAGACAGATGGTCTCTGCTGCTTACATCCACAGGAAAAAAACAGAGGGAGAACTGTCAGATCACATGGCCTCTTCTACTGCCTTGCCAAGAACACTGGATATCTTCATGTTTGGATACAGAAATCAGGTCTTAAAATTGGAGAAGGAAGAAGAGAGAAGAGGCAGAGACCATGACTGTATTCTGTTATCCTGGGATTTATCCTCAGATTATTATCAGGCAACGAGAGGAATACCCAATCAACATCAGAAATTCCAAATATTTTATATTAAGTGACTGAACTATTCAAGAAAGAAAAACATCCTGTTTTCACAAAACATCAGTTATATTCTTAAGCAACCATTTACTCTCTTTGGTTGAGATTCATGCCTGGACAACTGGCAAGTTTGATCTCTCAACCTTCTGAATATTTAGTTACTCGAGTAAAAATTTTCCACCTCTACAGCAGCCAAGTCTTTGCTATAGTATTTCTGGCCTCCTCTATCAGAGGATTTAAACTTTGCTGCTTTTCATATGCTTTACTTGAATTTTGTAAGAGTTTCTCAGATTTTCATGTGGATGCTGTATGTAAGCATACCCTGCTCTGATTCCTTTCTTTCTTCCCCAGATTGTGAGAAATGCTACAATGTCAGTAAACAGCAAACACAATCTTTTATCTGTTCATGCCTGTACATATCCTCCTAACAGCAAGGGCTACTTGCAGGACTATCCTTTAGGAGCAATTCCTCATTTTGTACAGTGCAAGTCCTTCCTTAGCAACATACGCCCGTTTCTCTAGGCCTGGCTCAAGAGTATGCAATATTTTTCTCCTTAGTATCTAAAAGGATAAGAGAAGCTAAAACAATGGGTAAACTATCAGTACTTACGGTAGGAACCATCAGAACTGATCTCATCACTGATCACCAGGCAAGTAATCTGAGAATACGGGAGAGGATTATTTCGGTTGTAAGGACTTACAATCATCCCAATGAACATGGCACCACCCCTGGAGAAATAACTCTTAAAACAAACAAACAAAACCACACATCAGAAATAAGCATTTTTCACAACAGCATCCTGAAATTAAAGAATAGACAAGAATAGTGGAAAGTCTGGGAAGCATTCATACGTGTTCAACCTCATTTAAACCAGCTCAGCGTCAGCATGCTGCATAAATTACAAAACAACACATGAACATGCTTTTAACATGCAGCAGTGCAGAAATGTGCATTAACATTGTAAACGGGCTTTAGGGGTTTTGCACTTTTTTTGGTTATTTATTATTAATGTACAGACCAGTAAGTACCTGATATTTAGCTTGAGTGTCAATATCTCGTATAGAGGGGTTGGGGTCAAATGCTGGGTGGGAATGGTACCACCCAATAACACTGTACCCTCTGGCAGCAAGTGTTTCTGAGGCCTGCGTTTGAGATACAGGATCCATCTCACACTGCAGTCCTGTACTGAGGCTATTGCACGGCTCTGCTGCACAAACCTGTTAAAAAAGTCTCCAGATGGATAAATGCAAGAAATCTTAATCAGTTCAATAAGATTCATTAAAAGAATTTTAAGTCACATGCCAGATCTTCCTTGTGAAAGAGCTGACAAACCAACACTTTAACACAAAGCATAAAAATCATTTCAAGATTGTGGTAATTAACTTCAACTTCAATATGCTTGAAGTAGATGCCCCGAAGAAATAACATTTACATCAATTCAAATACAACAGTTTTAATGACATAGAGAAAATGGAAAAAAGATAAACACTTACTTCTACAACTTTATCAGCTTCAGAGTATCTTCCACCTAGCAACCCTATTACTTCTGCCATAGACACATGTGAGTGCTAAAATGATATTAAACAATTATTAAAGTTCAAGCTGTATAATTTCTCCATACTTTGATTTGCACTTTATAGAACACATTGGCTTCACAATTGCAATTCAGTAATTTCTCAGTGACATTTATAAGGAGAACTTTGGCTATTTTAGCATCTTCAGCTGTCCTATGTTTCAATTGAAAGTAAACAAAAATGTCATGTTTGCTTATTATACACATGCATGTTTATAATGCACCTGTATAACACTTCTACCCATTAAACAATGCTAACTTCAGAAACCCCAAAGCATTCAAAAACTGCAAGAACTAAAAGCTGCACTGCTAAATCTAATCATGTTGCCCATAAAAACAACCCCCCCAACATATACATCATAGCTTTCAGTAAGATAAAACTTCATCCTCACCAAATCCATTATTAAAAGTGCTTCTGAAGACACTTTCACTTGAAAAGGTTCCTGAAAACACAAACACAATAATGAGCATAATGAAAGTAATGTGACTAAATAAAGCATTATCGATATTCACTCATAGATACATACCTGTTTTTCTTCAGTGAACAAACAGCATGGTATCAGCTGAAAGGGATCAAAGGAACTATAAAATGAAAGAAAATTTCTCTAAAGATGCAGGACAGTCAGGAAACTTTCCTAGTTTCCCACTGTCTCCTCAATAGAGGAAGAAGAGAATTTCTTCATTGTATGTCTTTCATCTCATACTATGAAGACTTCCACCAAATACAGAAGTTCACCTCCCACACTTTTGAATTTCAGCATTTAACATCCAAAATGCTACACGTTCTTTCTGCCCATGATACATATTACTGATTTGCAGTGTTCCAGCCTGATCCATGCAAGCCAATTGTTTTATTTCTAGAAGACCTATTTTGGAACATGATGTACAGCAAATACCTTTTTAATTGTCTTGAACCTTTAGATGCTTTTGCAGGCTTCAGTTTTTCTTCTTCTCTTCTTCTTGCTAATTCTTCAGCAGACAGATGCTAAAAAATAATTGCAAAAATCTGTCTCAGTGTCTTGAATGAATCCTCGACATCACTGCCCTCCTTATGTGCCACCAATTACAGTCTTCCACTGTAATCTGTGGTCACAAAGTACCAGAACACCTTTTCAGGGATTAGCATTTTCACATTTCATTGCAAACCAAAGCTGTGTTCTGCAGAAGGTGTATTTGCTAACCAGGGCTGTACAAGAAACACTTCTGTCAGCATAACACTACAGAAGTGAGTGTTACAGATGCTTACTACTGAAGGCTGTGAACTTAAGTGATTTTATTTTATTTTATTTTTTTTGGTGAGGAAGGGTTCAAGAATAACAGAATGTTTCCTGTTCTTCACTTTTTCTAAATTCTGAACTTGTAAGAATGGATAGACTTGAGGAAGCATCCTCTACATCTTCTTTAAAGCCTTAAAACTTCTTCACAGAGGACAGTACTTCTGGGGATATTGCTAGAATCCTTGCTAACTCACCAACTCACGTCATCTGCATTACAAGTACAAAGAGACCATGCTGGATCAAAAGAAAAATAACTTTGTACCTTATTCACTTGTACTGTCCAGTAAGGTTAAAGGGAACTAATGGAAAAACAAGATTTTCTGAGAACTAGTCCAATTCCTCTCACATCAAGGATCAAGTTCTCCATTTATGCAGTCTGCATACACTCTGACAATCAAGGTTGCTCTATTCTAAATATTCAGGGTAAACCATGCAACTAAAGTATGTGTCAATTTTTTAATTTTTTTTTAATTAACAGTAGAAATCTAGCTTAGTGTTCCAAAATCCAGAATGAACAAGAATTAAGCAACTCCTTTTTCTTTTTGGAAAAGGGGACCAATCTTTCCCTGTTAGATTCATGGCAAATCTGAACTAAGTAAAACAGATATGAGCCAAAATAAGGCCAATTTATTTTAGGTTATAGCCAAAAGGAATCAGTACAGAAATTAATTTCAGCTTATCCTGATCCTCAATGATTTGATATTTTAACCTTAGCACTGCATTAAACCATCCCCCACCACATAAAGGGCTTAATTAAACTGAGGCAAAAACAACTTTTCTATAACTAAAGGGTCATGAAGTTTCATACAAGATGAGGCAAAGAGCTCTGTAGGTGTTCAACTGTGCAGATCCATCCATGCTCACAGCATGAACACCTTTGCAAACACCAAAGTACAGTCACTTATCAGCAGATGTAACAGCTGCAGGATTTATTGTAACAGCAAGCAATACCACCTGCTAACAATTATTAGTAATCAAATATGTAAATGAAGGTTCAAAACCAGGTTACCTCAAATGTCTGCCCTTCCAAATCCTTAGCATCACACCAGTTTCCCCAAGGGTCTCGGACTCGCCGTCTTCTTGTACGCTGCAGAAAGTAAATCAACACAAATCAAGGATCAAACTCATGCAAAAAACCTCCTTTGCTGTGTTTAATCAGCTGTAAGAACATCATCCAAAAGATTACTGCCACGTGAGCTTTCTTAACACTGTGACATACTGCCAGAAAACACACTGGAATTCTGCAGAATTGAGTAGTTCACAATCTGTCACAAAATATCATCAGTGATGTTTTCAGGTTTTTAAGGCTGTAAAGAACACCTGGATATCAATCCATGGAACATCAATGTCCCTGACAGCAACAGCAAACTATTATCCAACTGTGAATTATAGGACAGGCAATGCAGAAAACTATCAACCAGTATGTGTGTGCCTTGTGTAAACTACTGCTCTTCATCTGAAGCTTTTTTTTCCTTAATGGGATTGATTTTGTTTTCTTCTCATCAACTGATTTATTTTCCTATGAATTACTTCAAAATGCTACATTAAATGTAAATATGGCAAACCTTGGTAATTCATCTAATTATGAATGAGTTACTACTGTACTTAATTGCGTGCATAAGACTCTCAGTAAGTCACCTGACATACCCAGTCTACTTAATGATTAAGACACAAGCAACATAACCTCACTCTACTGATACACTCTACTGTTTTCTGACTAATTTATACAAACAGATTATGGGCTGCTGGGGGGGGAAGGGGTTGAGATTCCAGGAAAAAGACTGTACCAAATCTCAGTGAAGTAGCTGGGCAATTAATGTGCAAGAGAACAGAAAATAGAACAGATACCAGTCAAAAAAAAAAAAAAAAAAAATTCTGCTTAAACTGATACTTGCACTGAAAGGTGCTCTAATGAAACTGCAAACTGAACAAGAGAAGTAGTTTCCTGAGATGGCCTGGCTTGAAAAGACCTGCATGTCAAATTTTCCACCACCCACTCTCTTCTCCCTGACCCCCAAAACATACCATGGACTGCAAACGCTGAGCAAGCTGGTATGCTTCCACTGTGTCTTTGCCTTCCTTGGACCGTGATTTATCAGCTGGTTGTGGTCTGTTATAGACAGCCTGTTCTACAGGAAATACAAGAGATACACACTGTGCTTCAGTAATGTTTGAAGTGATAGACAAATGCCATAAAGAAAGGAAAAAGTCAGCACAGAGACAGCTTTTGATGGTCATGTTGATGAGTGATTCTATAGTTTTCTCTCACTACCACAGCATTTCTAAGAAGGGAAAACCTCCTTCCATTAATTCATTTGAAATAACTTCCATTTTGGACAGGATTTATTGTAGGACATTCCTCCCTACCAAGGTGTCTGTCCTTCAGCTTTGGACCAGAGTCAACCCATTACAGGGACTCCAAAACTGAGCATCAATTGACAGTAACTTTCAGGTATCTATATATACTTTTAACATGCCAATTAATTTCAACATTTGTATGTTGTTAAAAAAAAAAAAAAAAAAGTAGCCTTGAGGGTGGAGACTGCTTTATTCCCAAAATGATTCAATTATGATTCAATATGGGGAAGTAGGAAAAAAAAAAACACATCTGTTCTTCACGTGAAAATATTCATTTTAATAAAAAAGCTGACAAGCAACAGCTGGTCTCAGCACACGCTGACTAAAATTTCAGTTCTGAATCAATTCTGATAAAAAAAAATATATATATTTTTTTACCACAGCCAAAGTTAATTGCTCCTATTAATTCCAAGTACGTGTGGATACGTCCAATACAGTTTACATCACCGCAGTTCTTAAGGCCCGGACGTACTGAGGTCTTGTTCAGGTATTTGGGTTTACATCTCTCCCTAAAAGAAAACAGAACAACACATCATCCAATAGAAAACAAGTCAGGTGGAGGTGATACAGTGAAGTGTTTTACCCAGATGCAAACACCACGCGCCGCTGTGCAGAGCAATCGCAGCAAAAACACAGGTTTCACAAAACATATGCAGTTCATTTTAGGGTTATTCATACACACTCATATTCAGGCAGTGTGAAACTTCTGTTCCATGCTTTAAAACAAACTCTTCAATGTGATATGCCAGGAAGCAACGAATTACTCAGAAGTACTGCGATTCTTTTAAACTAAATTCAGAATGTCTACATTACATTCCTTGGAATAACTCATATAATCACATGCATCCTTGGTGTAACAAACAAGCCTGTTTTCACTCTGTACACACATTACTTGTTCTGAGGCTGATACTGAGTTATTTGAGCTTAATCTCTCTCCAGTATGGAATGTCAGTTTCTTTGCTACTAGAATAAGCTGTTAGCACAGGGACCACTCAGTGACAACCTACTAAAATTTGCTAATTCTTCCTGCTAAAAAGCAAAGTAACCCAGCTAATGAGCACACAAAACAGAACTGCAACAACCCATATATTCAGCCTGCTACCACAAATATTAAAGGTTCTTTGAACTGATCTTTTGGAGATGGAATATAAAACATTCAAATGTACAAACACCACTCAAAAGTGATTCTTAATTTGAAATATTATTTGGTCAACATTATTTTCTCCAGTGCAGACTGTTCTTCCAACTGCTCTTATGCACAGGCACTACCACAGTTATCAATAAGGAATTAAAATAGGTCTTCTGAAGAAACATTTATTGAAAATATCTAAGGATTCTTATATGCTGAATGAGTAAAGTAAAGAAGCATAACAAAAACAGAGGTGGTTTATTCTCATATATATAGGACATAAATTTCCATAACGCTTCAAAAAGCACTTTCACTGCTTAGCTTCCAGAATCCCAGAACTGGGAAGAGATGAAATAAGCAGCACCAATCAGTGCCATTCACTGATCATCTTTAGAATATTACTACAAACTTACTTCTACTCTTTTCAAAACCTGTTTGTACTGTTTTAACTACAACAAACCAGGGCAAGTGTGATTTTAATGACTTACTGAAAGAAGTGAAATGAATGCATCTTACCACTGATCCAAAATATAATTCCTAATTTTCAAGTAACGCTCTGGTGTTTTGGCCTGGCGTCCTTCAAAGAATTCAGGAATAGCTTGCTTCTCTTCTTCCAAGATGATGTTTCTATCAATCTCCACTTCTTGATCAGGTGGCTTAAGAGCCTCTGCTTCTTCCTGATGATCTTCATCCACTTGGCAGGGGGGATGAAAAAGCAGTCCATTATCAGCCAGGTCTCTCTGTTCCTCATGAAGCTCCTGCTCAGTTATTTGTTTAGAACCATGAGACGCTCCTGTTCTACCCTGTTCAGCCTTCTCTATAAAATCATTGCACTGCTGGTAATCCAAGTTCACAGATTTATCACCGTTCACGTGCTGAGAACATGTTGCTGCAACATCCTGAGACAGTAATGTGTCCACTGTGCGTTGCTTGGTATTCTGAGATTCTTCCTTCTGGGAAGAAACAGCAGAACTATGTCCAACTTTTGGAAAAGTTTGCTCCGTTTCTTTTGTTTCTTCAGCTGGACTTTCTGAAATTATGGATAATTCAGATTTTCCAATATCTTGCTGGAAAGCAGGAGAAAACAGTTCATCCATGTCATCAGTTATATCTACTTCTTCATCGTCCGACAGCTTTTCAATTTTCACTGCATTCAGGTTAGGGTCTGCACGGCCTCTCAAGTTTCCAGCTGACCATGCTTCTACCCTTACCCCATCTTCAATGGGAAGGCTGCCACCATGCTGACTTTGCTCTTCTCTTTCAGAACCATCATTTTTTGCCTAAGGAAAGCATAAAATACTTTAAGAAGGGAAAAAAAAGAAAAAAAAAATGGAAACATCCCCCTCTGTCTTCCAGACAATCAGAACTATTTTACTTGACAGCAGACGGACATTCTGAGGGAGGTGTTTGATGGGCTGACAAAGCAATAGAAATACCAAAATCATTCAAAGCAAACTAACTTTACAACAATACTTGAAATGCTCTGTTTACCTTGTTCTTAAAGTACTGCCTGGCATAGCTCTTTACTTGTAGTACAGTACGACTCCCAATCAACTTGGCAATTTTTGTCCAACGGCGGCCAAACTTCACCTAGCACAACAAAGCACTCCTGAGTTACTCAGCCTCTAACATTCCAGTTTATACCCAAGAACTGTTTAATAGCTCAGTTTTGCATTACAAACTCACGAACAGTACAGCTGAACCCAAGAAGCTCAGTAATCATCTTGCACCAAGAAAAGCACTGCATCCAACAGTAACAAGCACTGCTATTCCTCACTCATTGTAGACATGCTGAAATTCCATTGTTTACTAACCCAAGGAATCTTACTGAAATGAGTTTATGCTTGCTGAAGCAAACCCTATTGCATTCAGCAGTGCACAACCACGTAATCTCTGAAGACCTTATAATACTAGCTGCAGGATTTCACTTCCATTAGTTGACTTACCCTATGCGTTCTGTAGTTAAAGCATGCTTAACATCAGCAGTGTGGCTGTGCAATTCAGGAAGCAACGTATTTCAGATATTTTGTGATCTCAAATTGTAATCAGTCCCAAGTGAACAAAACACACAGAGCCATTTCTGGCAATTAATCAGTACAGATCGATTTATAAAAATGCTGTCACTAAAGAATTTAATATAAAAATTAATTCTTATCAAATTAGAAGTACACAAAAAGCAGCAGCTAAACAACATCTTTATTTATGGTTAGTTTATTATTTAAGATAACTTAATGATCTATTCAAAATGTTACACATCAATGCAATCATACCAGCCCTTGTTCAAATAGTTCTTTTTCTTCTGATGTCCACTTCAGTGAGTAGCTACCTGGTTTTGTAGGAGATCGCACCCTAAGAACAGGAAAGAAATGAGGTAATGGCTTCTTAAACACATCTTCCCAAACCCCTGTAACTGAAGACAGCCCCTGACAAGGACACTACTGATCATCTCCTGTAAAGCTCATGGTGTCGTCTGAAGCACCAACTTGGCTGATAGACTGGGAAACATGTCAGTTCTCCATCACAGAGGAAGACTCCAGATAACCATGAAAGCCAACCTGAATTAGCATTTTTTTTTTAAATAAGGACCACTGTGCTATAAAACAAACCAACAAACCAGCAACAAAGCACAACAAATTAGTTTACTACAGGCCTTTTGTTATATACAGTATTTCTGTGTGCTGAAAGATCCCAATAATTTGGGGGAGCTAACATTTTTGGGTGTGCATTCTGTAACTTAACAAAAACTGGAAGCTATGCTGAAAAAAGGCAACTGTGACAATTTACGTACATGGCTTTTCCAGTTTTCTTATGTGGGCTGCAAATACAAAAACAGAATGAAATTAGAAATTAGTAAATGTGATACAATTGCACATATCTGCAATTAACCAGCTTTTGATTTCTTGTTAATTAATTTCTTATTATCTGAGAACTTTCCAAGTACACAGCTTACCTTTTCACAGATCTTTTTTCTGCTTCCTTTTGACTGAGCCATATTTTCTCAGAAAGCGATTTATTTGATAGATAATATCTGAAATTGTTACTAAGAAAGTTTTCAAAGTATCAAAGATGGGAGAATTCTAGAAATCTTACTGATTACATTGGTTCATAATAATTCAGTTGTAGAAATGCTGCATGTATGGCTTTAGAAACTGAAATTTCACGTGCTCCTATTAGTTTAATACAGAAGGCAGTGATGCTTGTTTTCTGAATGCACACACTCACCCACCTGGAGTGAGTTAAGTGTCCTGTTTCTACAATAGGCTTTTGCTTTTTTGACACAGAAACCATAATGAAATAACTTTCTTTGTATCGATGCCTTATCCATTTTCAGTTTACCCTCAACAATTTACTACGTTGGGAAAATTACTTTATTTTCTTGTTTCTTTTCTTACTTAGAGTCAGTCACAAAAAGAGTATAAAAATGAATGGGACCATCGTCAGTACTGCCATCACTACCCCAGTCTACTGAGGGTCACTGTTGTTTCTACTTATTTAAACTCGTATGCACATAGACAGACAAAAAAAAGGTAGTATAACAGCTCAAATTAAGCAAAATTCACAAAAGAAAATAGCAATTTTTGGTGAAAATGGCTGTTTGAGCAGGTTTGCTTCGGCTCTGTCAGCACAACACTGGAGGTAGCACTGAAAAAGCAGCTGACATGGAAAGGAACACGATTTAGGCACCAGGGCCAGCCTAAAGCTGAAAAGCTTTGGAATCCTACTCTTCATACTCTCAACTGACCTCACAAGGACATTTTGTTTCCAGTACCTCAACTATGTAATTGTGGCTATGGATACATACTGTCAACGGATTGAAGAAGCCAAAGACTTACTAGCAACAGGAGAAGCTGTGGGTAGCTACATGACTCAATTACCTGACAGTGCTTCAGTCACACTGCCAAGCAAACAATTTGGCCAGTTCCTTTGTAATCAAGAAGCAAATCAGAAAAAGGATACTCTTCCTCCAGCAGCATTTTCTCAATGACAGCCCTGTTTTCTTCACTAATGCTGCTGTCCAACGTCCACGGCTGCAAACAACACAAACATTTCTTAGTCCTTGGATTCTGTTATGCTGTTATTTAAGTATCAAGAATCAATATACAAACAGCTTCTGAAAATAAGCAAAAAACAGTGTTTAATAAGCTAAAAGGGGATGTACATGGAGGTAAGACTGAAGTTGTAATAGCCTTGCTAGAAGCACCATTCAATTAAAAATAACTTACAAGACTGTTATCAGTTCTCCAAGATGAATCAAGGTAGTGATCCTGCAGTAAGCTTGACGCTGTGTTTTCATGACCTCTGAAAAAAAAAGTCCCACATTCAAAACCACAAATATATTCTATCAAAATGAATGCATCATTAGCAACTATACCATTAACAGAAGAACGAGATACTAAAATTTAAGTCACGCATTGTAGACTGTTAGCTAATGCCATTATTTTATAATATTCTATAAGGCATAGCCTAACTCCCCCTCAGTAAGTCATCTGTTAGTACTCCGGACAGAACATCTCACCTATCTCACTGCAAACCATACAAGATACCAATGAAACCCTGCACAGTAAGAAGTCCCATCCAAAACCACTGAAAGTAGGAGGGACTTTGCAAAACACACACAGAAGAAGAATACCAGAATTTCATGGGTAATACAGACAAGAAATCTGTTTAACCGTGTCATTCACTTGCATTATGCCCACTTAACATTGCTCCATCTTTGTGAGGTAAGAACATTCCCTTAACAAAGAAATGTCTTCCTGTAGAGGACAGCTTCTGCTGCCGTAAGGTTTAACAGAATCTCATCATGTGGGATAGCCAGCACTCTTACAGATTTCATCCAGACTATGCTTAACTTTTCCTGCCAGTATTTGCTTTTTGCCTTTAGAAAACCATCACTAATCAACTTTATTCTACCTTAACATAGCAAAAACCACCCAGTCATTTATGTAATGCCTTGTCATCCACACTTCTGCTTCCAGAACACTGAGACTTGTCTCAAGAGCCATTCTACCCCTTGCTATAGTACTAAAAGCAAATTCTCTTATACTCTGAACTGCTTTGTGCCACATCTCTTTGTAAGCAGGTATATATCGTCGTGTACAACCAGAAAACAGCGTTACTGCTGTCAGCCCGATATCCCACCCAGCCGCGCAGCAGGAGGTGCTGCTCCACACAACACCGCCTGCTTTCTGTCACAGGGCGATTCCCCTCCTCCTCCCAGCACCGCTGGATCGGGTAAAACCGCTGCCCGCTCACTCCACCATTCTGTCAGACACCGCTTAGCTGCGAATCGCGCCCTGTGTGACAGCCCGTTCCACGCCCGCGGTGCAGATTCGCTCCCTGAGCGCCCGGCCCTGCCGCCGCACAGCTCCTCGCCGCTCCCTCAGCCCCGTCACGGAGCTCAGCGCTGCCCCTCCGCTCCTGCGAGGACCTGCGGCCGCCACGAGGCCTCCTCCCCTCAGCCCCCTTTGCTCCGGGCCGAACAAACCACAAAGAAGCTCGGGCTCCCCGCAGCGGCCGGGCGCCGTACCGGCGGTGTGCCCGCGCACGGCCCTCACTCACTCTGAGGCCGCCTCCCCGGGCGCGGCCGCCAGATCCCCCTCAACGTCCACCTCCGGCTCCTCCGCCGCCATGACAGTGGGCTCCCACTTCTCGCGAGACGAGCCGAAGTCTCGCGAGGCGAGGCAGAAGAGAGGCGCTCTGCGCATGCTCAGTTGGCGGCGCGCGCACGCGCGACTGGCAGAAGCGAAGCCGCGCCCTGAGGAGATGCCGGACGGAGGCGGAGAGATGGCGCTGGGTAGGCGGGGCGCCGGGCGGGGAGAGGGCAGCTGAGGGCCAGGCGTGGGGCAACGGGTGTGGTGCAGTGTGGGGAGAGAGAGGAGGTGAAGGGTGGACCCGAACGGGGCGAGAGCGGGCTTGGGGTGCTGGGGGAGGGGGGGTGGAGCTCTCTGAGGAGAAGCGCTCAGGATGAGAGTTAGCGGCCCTAAGTTGTGCCTGCGGAGGTTCGGGTTGGATATCAGGAAATTTCTTGTCGGAAAGAGTCATCGAGCTCTGGTTCTGCTGCCCGGGGAGCGGTGGGGTCACCGTGCCTGGAGGTGATCCGGGACTGTGGGGATGTGGCGCTGAGGAGTGCGGTGGGTTGGTGACCTCAGGCGCCTTTTCCTGCCTTTGCGATTCTGTGATCCTGCACGGTTCCATGTTGGTAGTTCCGCGTTAATGCCGTGCGGCAGCGTATCGAACAGAGATGGCTAAGCAGGGTACGGCCTGGTACTGAGTGCCTGTAGCCCTGCTTCTCTCCTCTGTCCAGGTGCAGCTGTGGAATAGGCTGGCTCAGCTCCCACGTCCAGCCTGGAGCAGCAGTGTGTGGCTGGGCTGGTGAGGGAGGGCAGGGCAGTCTGTCAGCAGTGCTTTGCAGTTAGTTCTGCCTGAGCTAAACAGCCCGAACTGCAGTCTTATCAGCTCCAACATCCCTATGCTCTGTATCCTTGAGGATACAAATGTCTCCTTGTTGATAATAGATGGCTAGTTAAGAACGTGGTGTTTCACTAAGCTATCCGTGCAGGTTTGAGTTGTGATTTATACTACAGAAGGTCAAAAACAGTGCATTTAAGATTGCCACTTTTTAAATTCCAAGTATGAGGTTCATGGGAAAAAGCAGATGCGTAATCAATGCTCCAAAGTTTAATGGTATGTTTAAGATCCTGTTTTCCATGGTTCCCACTGATTACTGACTTAATTTGTCTGTTCTCAATCACACAGAGCCCCAGCACCACCCAAATTATATTAAATAATAATTTTGCCTTTACATTTAGAAATGTTTGCTTTACGTATTTATTTTGCCATCAACATTTTCTTTTTCAGGAGGGTGACAATGTGAGCCTGATTCTCTGTTTTGTTACATTCAGCTACTTGCAGTGGGGTCTTTTTGAGGCTATTAGCTGCTAGTAAATTGGCTTTTTCTCCTTGTGACCAGTTTACGAGGGAATTTACAGCATTTAAGTGACCAGCCTTGCAAGCACAGTGCAGTGGGGTATCCTTATTGCTGTCTAAGGCATTAATGGCTGCCCCATAACTCAGTAATAAGTTTATCAAGTCGCTGTGCCCATATTCTGCTGCAATATGCAGTGCAGTCTTTCTCCAAATGTTTCTATCATCAATATTCTTATTTTTCGTTGATGTCAAAAGAATTTTTACAACTTCTGTGTTTCCTTTGATGGCTGCATAGTGCATGGGAGTACATCCATCCATGTCCTTGACTCCAAGTCTTCCTTTTTTAGCTAGCAGAACTTGAACAATACTGAGATGACCTCGCAGAACTGCAGCATGCAGAGGTGTTTTTTTCTCCTTGTCTTGTGCACTGGGGTCAGCATTAGCGTTCAGAAGCATCTCCACCATTGTTTTATCTCCCCTTTCACAAGCGAAATGTAGAGGTGATTTTGACTGCTTATCCTTCGCATTAACATTGGCTTTGTGGTGCAACAGCTGTTTGGCAACATCAGCATTACCTCTTTGACTTGCAGTATGCAAGGGAGTAACAAACTCTTTAGTGACAGCATTAATTTTGGCCCCGGCGCTGACTAACGGGCCAACTAATGCTCTGTTGTTGTGCAGTGCAGCAATATGGAGTGGGGTTTCATCGGCCTGATTGGTCACGTTGGCTTCCATCCCCTTGTGCAGGAGCAGGTTGGTGATGGATGCAGCCCCAGCCCGAACTGCCAGGTGCAAAGCTGTGTCTGAAGCAGGGTTTTTTATTCCCAAGTTTCCTCCCTTTTCGATTAGAACTTCTGCACATTCAGCCTTGCCTGTTTCACACGCCAGGAGTAAAGGAGTGTACTGCATTTCATTGCAGGCATTTACATCTGTACCTCTGTCAGCTAAAGCTGCTACAATACCATGCAGATTTTTCTGTACAGCTTTAAAAAGAGCTGACTCCATTACGTCCGATGGCAAATCCTTAGAATATTCTAGCAGTGTTTTGAAGATGGATGGGTGGTTGCTGTTGAAGGCTCTTTCAGCCATGTTGGAATCAACACTGGCTCCAGCTTCCAACAGTACTTTTGCAGTGTTTTCAAAGCCCTGAGAAACAGCATAACTGAGAGCTGTCTGTCCTCTCTCATCCTTCCCATCAATGGGGGCACCACACTTTAAAAGCATTTTTGCCAGACTGCTTTCATCTTTAAGAGCTGCCATGTGCAAAAAGTGATGTAGGTTCCCACTGCTTCTTGCTTCTTCTCTCAGGAACATCTTCAATATGTGACTATGGTCATTTTGTGCAGCCAGATGAAGTGGTGTCTTGCCTTCTTTATCCAAACTGTACATGTGAGCACCACAGCGGAGAAGCACTTTGGCTGCATCACCATGGCCTTTCTCAGCAGCCCTGTGCAGAGGTGTTCTCCCTTTCTGGTCCATCACATCTAGCTGAGCGCCTTTGCTGATCAAATATTCCATTATGCTTAGGTGCCCCTGAGAGGCTGCAATGTGCAGAAGGGTTTCATTTGAAGAGTTTAGTGCGTTAATATCATTATCTTTCAGTGTTTTCTCTAACTCTGAAATATAACCCTTAGCAGCTGCATCAAAGATGCCAATATCAGAATGATGTTTTCTAGGTTTTGCTGCTCCTGAAAGCTGAGTTTCTTTTCCTTTCTTCTTAGTAGCCACTTCATGTCTTTTTCTTCCAGGACTCTCTCTTTCTTCTTGGTACTGTTCACAGCTCTTTTCAAGCCAAACTTTGTCTCTTTCAAGTAAGTATCCTATCAGTTGTCTTCTGGCATCTCTGATGCTTTCATTTACTTCACTGACATATTTTCTCATTTTGTTATAAAGTTTTGGCTCCACTTGCTTTAAACATGGATAGAAAAAGAGCCTGCAGGCTCGTTCACCATGGGAAATTAGGATGTCTAAAACTCGAGAGTTCTTTTCCGTTCGTGTCCTGTAGAAACTCACAACCATCCTTTTTTCTGGAGAAAAAATGCCATTGTCTATGAGGCAGCTCAGAAGGTGGTCGGGATCATTAATGCCTTCTATTAGCTCTTCTCTTTTAGTTCTTAGGACTTCTATTGCGTATGGATTGGTAAATAGGCTGGAATGCATGCTCACCTTGATAAGCAAGAAGAGAACGGAACTATTGTTTAACATCAGAAGTGAAATACAAAGTACCAAAGTTGGGTGACATCACTGCCTGTGAGGTGCTGGAACAGCTGCCCAGAGAGGTGCCCCATCCCTGGAGGTGTTCAAGGCCAGGTTGGATGGGGACCTGGGCAGCCTCGTCTAGTATTAAGTGTGGAGGTTGGTGGCCCTGCATGTGGGGATGGGACTGGATCTTCATGGTCCTTGAGGTCCCTTCCAACCTGGGCCACTCTGTGATTCTGTGATTCTTTTTGATTGAACTCTGAATCAGCAATCACTGTAGTTCAATCTTTAAAGAATGAGAAAGAAATCAAAGCTCACCTTTAGTTCTGGTAGAAGTCCCTTGATTTTTCTCTGCTGTCCCTTAGCAACAAGTGAGGTTCAATAACAAAACAAAAACCGGTGATACATAAGGATCTTCTGTTTGGAAGACTTCTTCCAGACTTTTTAATGCAAAGTTAGGGAGGGAAAAAAATGCTTTTGTGAAGCTGATATTTGAATAGCAAGTATTGGTTTATCAGGTTCCTTTGGGCAAAGTTATTCTTTGTGGTTCCCAGTTGTCCAGGCTTTTAGACCTGACAAGAGAAAATAGACAGCATGGTTACTGTTGCTGTGTTTGCATACTTGTATAGTGTTAAATGAAGGAGTACCCTTTGCCAGCACTGTAGGTGAAATCTCTGTCATGTAATGAAATAAAACCATGAAGATCCAGATAAAAATGAACTGTACAGAGCAGCTGATTGTAAAAAGTGTGCCAGGCTTTCCAGGATGAGTTACAACTTCGGTCTGTGAGCTGTATTTAACTTTAAGGCTGTCATTCTTGTGTCTGCTGTCTGTCTGGAGCCTAATTCTATTCCATCAGGTGGATCAAGGTGTGTACAAAACTTTTAAAGTATAATTAAATGAGACTTCAAATCTGTATGTATAGTCTTCAGTGTGAGTGTAGGACCTTTGAATCTAGCTGAAATTAATTTAACTTACTGGTCTCAAAATTCCTCATGGAGAGGAGGAAATATAATAATAACCATCTACGTATTTGGAGTGCAACTGAGAGAAATTGAGATGGCAGTTCTGTAAGAGCTACAGCTGAGTGGTTGGGTCCAGATGCTTTTTAAGGTCCTTCCAACTCAAACCATTCTAGGAAAATATGCTGACAGCTTCACCTTATTTAAGCAAATCGGACTTTTTGCCATCTGTGTCTTTCTTCACTGCCTTTTCCATTGCATCCTGCTACCTTTGCTTGTATTTTCTTTAATAGTAGGCATAGTGTGACTGAGGAGATTTTTAATTTTTTATGAGTTGACTTTGCATTGCAAAACTTATTCTGTTTTATAAGCTAGATTGCAAAACTTTTTCTATTACTATTTTTTCTTTTTACAAGAAAGATTTATTGAAGAAATAGCCAGGAAAGGCAAGACTTCTAATATAAGTTTTGAAAGCCAGCCAGTTACCGAGTCAGCAAATTGAACAGCCAATTTAAAAGCCCAATAACTCCTCTGAAATGCAAAGAGGGGCACTGCCCCAAGGATGGGTAAACTTTTGTCATTTAGTCAATCATTGTTAACACATAACGTGGAAAAGTGTGGTTGTCAGGAGGTCCGAACTGTGTTCCTAAATCTGCTAATGACTCAGTCTGTGAGCTGCAAATTATTTAGTCTTCAGATCTGACTC